TTCCACCCTTCTGAGAGTGACCAACTCCTGCATTCCATCTTTCCATTGCTGGAAGAGGAATCACAGCTTTCTGTTGCACAGCAAGATGCCTTTTCTGCAGGCATCTAAATGCTCACAGGTGACCACAGATCTTCACAGAATCACAGTGGCTTGGGTTGGAAGGGACCTTGAAGATCATCCAGTTCCACCCCCGCCATAGGCAGGGACACCTTCCGCTAGTCCAGGCTCTTTTAGGCTCTCTGTGCCTTGACTAAACACTGATTTTTGAGAACTGGGGCAGAAGAAAAAGTACTTCCCCAACTAATTAATCTTAATAATCTCACTTATATCTAAGTGTCTCTCTGTGGGCCAAATCCTGCCGGGTGCCCAACCACTGCAGCTTTTAAGCTTCTTATACAAGTCACTGCCACATGGTCCCAAGACTGTCCCCAAGCTCAGTCACACAGAGAAGCAGAGCCCTGGGGTACACAGTGCTCATGAAACTCAAGCATTTTGCAGTGTAGCCTGTGAAATTATTTCATCCTCAAACAAAATAGTCTCTAAGCTGAGAGACAGCTACTAACAGGAAAGTATGAAATGGTTATTCAAAGCTTAACCTCATTTTTATGTGTTTTAAGTGAAAGTGTTGTATCACAGTGAAACTGTCTCAAAAACATAGATCAATGTTTGTACTCCTGATGGGGGACAGAAGCTGTTTGAATCCCAGTACTACTGGGATTTCTGTCCTGTTTTGCTGAGAACAGGAGGATCAGGTGCATATGTGGTAAATTCTCTGATTCCAGTGTGATAGAAGAAATTAAGCCTGGAGAAAAGGAGGCTCAGGGGGACCTTCTCACTCTCTACAACTTCATAATAGGAGTTGAAGGTCGGGCTCTGCTCCCAGGGAACAAGGGACAGGGTAAGAGGATAAGAGGAAACAGCCTCCAGTTGTTGTCACAGACCTCACCTACCCATGAGTGTGGTGGCTGCAGGAGCCAGGACATCTTCCCACACCCCTCCTGCCAGGAGAGGCAGGAACAAAGCACAGGGCACCCAAAAAAAGGCTCTGCTCCAAAGTGTACAAGCTTACCTCTGTCTGGAGCACCAGAACCGCGTGCCTTTAGCAGAGCTCCATTCAGAGTTGCAGGGTGGGAACTGCTGCTTCTTCTGCTCACTTTCTGCTTGGAATTTGAGAGCTTCCTCAATGGCAGCCTCAACCTCCCTCAGGGCTTCTGTCGGTGCCCCATTTTCATCGTAGAATCTGCCCACCAGCTTCCCTGGGAGAGGAGATCAATTAAGACCACAGTGCTTCTAGGCAAGGAAAATGCATAGTTCTGGAGGAGTTTTAATTTGTTATTTAAAGACAAAAATAAAAGGAGATGTCATCATGGCCCAATTTTAGAACAGAACTGAGCTTACATCCCTTCAACCCTTGCATCACATAGCAGTTTACCCTTATTAATAAAATCCATGCAGGATAAGCTCAGGCACAGACTCATTACAGATCTGAAATCCAAAGCCAGTTTCAGCTGCACAACCCAGAAGCCATCCCCACCCACGCACCTCATTCCCCAAAAGAGTGTCCCTGCACCTCTGCTCCTACAGTCTCCCGAGTCCTGCTGGTTTCAGGCTGGCTCCATGCTTTTTTGCTCACAGAGACAACAGCCAGGTGGGAAAACGATTAAACTTTCCCTTGAAGGGAAGCAGACCTCGAAGATCTGGCTTGGCTGCAGCTCCAGCCGGTCCCTCGCAGGGTTCAGGACCTTGGGCTGAGCATCCCTTGTGTGAGCCCACCCACCCCGACACCTACCCACGGGCTCGTAGTTGTCGTTGTAGAAACTCAACCAGCTGTGGATGGAGAGCAGCTCTGGGGGTGACAGCCCCGCCACGTTGTCCACCAGCCCCGCCGGGGTGAAGTCGCCGCTGGCAAACGCTCTGGTGGCATCTCTGCCTGCGAGACACCAGCAGGGTGAGACCCCCAGCCACAGAGAGAATTCCACAGCCAGGGAATGAGCCCCCAGGCATGGAGTGAAGCCCCCAGCCAGGGCTGCGACCCCGGCCTTGGAATGACAGCCCAGCCATGGAGTGGGTTCCCCAAACAGGGGGTGAGCTCTGCCTCCCCCCAGCCGGGGGATGAGCCCCTCCCCAGCCAGGCCAGGCCAGCCCGCCCTCCCCGCAGGTACCTGCGAGCCCGCTGTAAGCGCCGCCTGGCCCATAGTGCTTGCGGCCCCGCTCCACATCGAAGACCCGTCCCAGCAGGGCGAGATAGAGCCCGGGCTCGCCCG